TAAAAATCACATGATTAATTTTTAAAAATTAATTTTACATGATCATCATCTAAACACATAATAAAAATTAATTTGGTAAAAAAAAAAAAATGTCTAAAAGACTTATCAATTTTACATAATTTTATTTTTAGTGAGTAGAAATAATTTTTTAAAATTCAAAAATATTTGTTTGACATTTATTTTTGTTAAATTAGTTTATATTTTATCAAATTGACGATTTTACCTTTGAAAAATCTAATAATATCTTCAATTGTCCTTATTTGGAACAAAATTCAAAATTCAGGGTCAAATGTATCATAATTGAAAAGTTAGGGACCTAAGTGACGCAAACCCCAAACTAGAGAGACCACTAGTGTAATTCACCCTACTTTTAAAGACTTTTTATTTGTCACCTTCTTGTTTCCTTTCTCATTCAGATGAGTGTTAATTTGTTGGTTCTGCAGGTTAGTGGGAGACTTGAAATTGAGGAAAGTCTTTCTCATGCCAAAGCTATTGTGCAAAATGGCTCTCTTGATAATCAAGAAGAGGCACAATCAGTCCAGAAAATGGATTTCAGAGAGAAGCAGCATGAAGATACAAGTTTCCACACACCCAATCTTAATAAGGTTGAACAGGTTGTGGATTCATCAGCAGAAATAGAAGTTTCTTATAGGAAACTTGGTATGGACAACCAATTATACAGGACTTCTAGTCTTTCAGAAGCCTCTGAAACCCTTGATGGTAGTGAAATTATTGAGTTTGAAACTAAGATGACAGGGAATAAAATTGTTATTGATTCCAAGCAGGATCATTCGATGTCAATTCTAGAAAAGCTTTTTAATAGTGCTTTAACGGTGAATCTCAGTGGATCCTCAGGTTTTGTAGAGGTAATTATTGTATTTATGCCATTTGCTTCAAGGCTTTTATATAGGTGCATTGTTATTGAAATTGTAAGTAGTATGTTCTAGATTCAATTATAAAACTTTATGATCATAATTATTCATTGATGGGTGGAAATTCAGTCTGTTATTCTTTCGGCCCACGCCACTTATTATGCTGCCATCATATATATGCTCATCGTTATGTCATTGTCCTATACATGCTCATAAACTGACTACTAATGTTCATATTATTTTTTTGTTCTTGCCAAGATGACAGCGATTTGTATTCTGGATAATTAAGATTATAGTGCTTGGCAACTATACCTATCTTTTTTTCTTTTTGGATCGGCAACAAACCAAAATATTAGGTGCCATTTGGTGAAGTTTACAGTTTATTGTTTTTTGTTTACAGAAAATGTTAAATATGTTTGTTTATTTTTGGTAAAAACGAAAAGAAAAACATGTTTGGTACACATGTTTTAAAAAAAAATTGTTTTGAAAACAAGTAAAAGGGTCGGTTTGCGAGAGGAAAATAGGAGGCCTTTGATGCCGTCAAAATTATTGTATAAAGGTGAAAGGTGCTCATGCTGATTTCTCTATATGGTTATCTGGAAATTTGTTTTTAGTTTGTGGTTATTTATTTATTTTTATGGATGAAGTTCGGTTTTGTTGCCTCTGTATAATCATGCACATTGCTTTAGCTTCATCTTTGGACGGTGGATTCTTCTTACTTACCAAAGGTGGGTATCTGACATGACACCTTTTTTTCTTTTTTTTGTTGCCCCAGCATCATGATAGTGAACGAGATGACACACGGAGCCCCAATGCTGTACAGTCTTCCAAGTTTGCTCATTGGTTTCTTGAAGATGGTATGCATGTATTGGTTTTTCGGTTTAAATTTTTTTGAATGTTTTTCAGCAGAAATTTTCTGAGCCTAGTTCTTGAGTTGGGTCTTGTATAAGTTATAGTACTTTTCATCTACTGCAGAAAAGAAGGCAGCCGAAGATCCCTCATATGCTAAGCCAAGTGACTTGCTATCATTAATTGTTGGTGGTGAGAAAGGTGGATCCCAAGTCTCTGATGTGAAACCAACCCACATTCTACCAGACATTACCTTGCATAATTTAGAACATGCCAACAGATATATGACATCTTCCCCAATTGGACTCTCAGAACAGTTCTACAATTCCAGTAAAGAAGAGAAAGTTTCATCAATCCTAACATGCGAAGATCTTGAACAGACTATTCTGTCTGAATATAGTGAAAGTAGTTCAACTTTGCAGGCATCTGGTGGAGGCTGGAGTGTTTCTGGTGCAAAGACTGAAGAATCGAAAGCAGATATTGATGATCGTGCTTCTCAACACCTCCTGTCTTTGTTGCAGAAGGGAACAACAGGCTTGAAAGATATTGCACAATCCCCTAATCTAGACAACAGATCCTCTGACAAACTACATATTTCTGAAGGGGCAATTGTTGGCACTTCCCTCAACTCTAGAGAGGAAAAGGCCGATAGTATTCCCCATTCTGGGAAGAATCTGACACTTGAAACACTCTTTGGGTCTGCTTTCATGAAGGAGCTGCAATCAGCCGAAGCACCAGTTTCCATCCAAAGGGGCTCGGTTGGTTCTGCAGGAATCGATATTTCAGAACAGCAAGGATTACCTTTTGGAATCATGGGTGATACTCTCTTCCCAACTTCCACAGTTGGAATTGAATCTAACAGGAGCAATCATGAAAGCAATGTTCTGCAATCAAGTCAGGGACAGCAAACTAAGTCAGATAAAATTGAAAGCTGGTTGGGGTTTAATGATACTCAAGTTGAAGTGGATCGATCAAAACACGGAACCAGTGTAGTGTCTAAGCTCGGTGGCTTTGATGGGGCAGTTGATATTCAGCTGCCTGAAGAAGAGAGCTTGATTACAGTTGGTGATCCTGTGAATAACACCCCTTTTTCCATGTTCATGTCTGCTGGAAACTCAACAAAAGGCGAATTGCTATCCTCAAACAAACCGGTTGACATAGTTGAGAAGCTGGCAGCTCTTAATTCAGTTTTCAAGGATGAACGAGCTATGGTAGGTTGGGAAGGTACCCCTTTTGTTCGTGGTCCTTATAATCCAATGGAACCTGAGATTCCATACCGCAATCTTCGTGCCCAACCATCATCTCAATTTCATCCCCATCAGATGAATCCCGGGAGGCCATTTTTCCGTCCATTAGATTCCCATCCCACTCATCTTAATTCCCAGATGAATTTCATGGTTCCAGAGGGCAATAACCGTCAAGATGCCCCTGCGAATCATCAATTTCGTGCAAATATGTTGCGACCTCCTTTCCATCATCCAAATCCTAACACAGGGCGAGGAGGTTTCGAGCTTCCTCATCATCATCCTATGTTACAGCAAATGCAAGCGCCAGGCAATTTTCCTCCACATCATCTACTACGAGAATTTCCCAGGGGTGGTCCGCTGGCTCCTCACCCAAGCAATCAGGCAACTGGTTTTATGCAGGAACTAAACCCGATGCAAGGTTTTCCTTTTCGTCATCAGCAACCCAACTTCGGTGGCCCTGGAATGTCTTTGCCAGGTAAAGTGTCACCGCTCCATTGCTCCTAGCATTTTTTAATTTACCTCATTATTGAAAACTATGAAGAATGGGTACTTCGAAAAACATGTTGCACCCATACCGGGTATGTATTAAGTGCTAGTACTTTGCATTCTATATGCATACTGGCTACACGAAACATGCATCCAATTTTTTGTTCTTAATTTTTGCCATATCCGAGAGGTACGTAGTATATACCCAAGTCATAACTTAGCCGGAATACTATTTTCTTTTATACAAAGGTGAATTTAGTTTTATTGAAAAATTTCTATGCTCAACATGATTCTAAATTAAGCTTTGGTTTGTAGGTTCTGTAATATAATGACATTTAACTTTGGTTTATACCCTTAATTTGGGGATTAAAGTGTAGACTGTAGGTTGGATCATTAACCAACTATACAATTTAACTAATTTTTGTATTACTCCAAATTAAAAGTAAATATTTCTTTACAAACGTGCCCAACTATACCTATGCTCTTTTTTAGATTTTTTTGTATCAACAAACCCATACTGTACCCTTACATGCTTCTTAGGTTGGGAAAGTGCGAGCTTGGAAAAATCCTTAAAAAGTTCTTTTCTTGGAATGCTCTTTAGTCTATATCTATAATAAGAAAGAATATACTTATGTAGTGGATAAAAGTTTGATCAATAATTTGGTTTGTCCCAACTTGTGCATAATATCCCATGTATTACGTATTGGTTTCAAATTTACATATAATTTAATAAAATTCTACCAATTAGAGCCACTTTCAAGGGCATACAGTGAGTTCCAATGATGAAGCATAAATTTTTGTTTTCTTCTTTTAAGGTGATAAAGCTTGGAATATAGCTTTTGTTTTTTGTGGCATGGAAATGTGCTTCTATTGCATGGTTGGTGTTTTGTTAATAGTACTATAAAAATAGAAAATTTGTACATAATTTTTATATGGGATGACTTGGTTGAAGTTGAACAAAACACGTTAAAATGACTCTGGCTATACTATACTATTATATGAAGCACACAACTCGGTAGATGATTTTGAAAAAAAGCACGTTAAAATAACTGCTAAACAGTTATAGTAACTGCCAAATAGTTTTCAAATTTAACCTAACTTTCTCATTTCAAATTGCTCTAAAGTTTAGATGTAAAATTGCAAAAGTATCATGTTTGCACCCGCTACTAGTATAAATATTGCCATTGCCACGTCATTTTGGATGCATTTTCTATGTAATTTCTCCATAAGAAAAGAATTTTCTAATTATATATTTTCCTCGTATCAGGTCCTGATGTTAGTGGTGGAAGCAATCATCCGGAGGCGTTCCAAAGGCTTCTTGAGATGGAACTCCGAGCAAATTCAAAGCAGATTCACCCTTTTGCTGCTGTTGGCCACAGCCAGGGAATGTATGGTCATGAATTAGACTTGGGCTTTCGACACAGATAGAGTGGATCATTGTGGCAACTGATGGAGTCCCACTAATGCGTGTTTTAGATGGAAAAGATTGAATGGGGGTAGTGCAATTAATGGATTTTATTTGCCATAGTTACGGGATTGAGAGTTTGGGTTTGTTCCTTCATGATTTGAAAACCGAACAAAATTGGGAAGAAAAAAAAGAAAGTAAAGATGGGGAAATGTTGTGTAAAAGCATTTCGTGCTTGTGGTGAGTAATCTGTTTGCAGCACTGTTCAGAAGCTTGGAGCATAAGCACGGTGTGGTATATCGACACTTGACACTGCTTTTATCATGGTCTTTAGCTTATATACAACAGTAACATTTCATTCTGTTAGGTGTCGTTTGGTAATGTATGTTCTTTTTTCAACTAGTATATTATGAATCCACATAGTTCATCTTATAATTGGGTCATTCACAGTATTAGATAACTAGATGTGTTTGGTTGTAAAAAATGAAATACCTTAAAAATTTACTGTACTCGGTCTAAGTCTTTGTGGAAGTTTACAATATGTTTATTTCCTTTAGAACATAGAATTACTTGCATCTACTGTGTAGTTTATTTAGAAGATAACAAAATCTAAAATAGTGAATTTTGAAATGAAATAATTTAATTTGTGTAACAAAAATGGGTTTGGTGATCATGAGGGCGTGAGTTTCTCTTTGACTTTTCTTAGGCCCACTGATTTTTTACGTTGACCACATTTCGTAGCCGGGTATGGCTTCTCTATATCCTGCTATCATTTATAATTCTCCATATTTTATTTAGTGAGCCTCATTTTGGACTCAATGATAATTTAAATCATTCATCTTTTATAATTTACAATAAATATTATCTATGTAAAAAATTAATTTTATTAGATATCGGTTAATAAATAAATAAATAAATTATATTTTATTTTATGAA